TTTATGTATTATATTATTTTTATACACTTAGCTGTATATATAAAACTTGAGGACGTGCATTAATGTCTAATGATAATGTATGCGTTTTATCTGTTGCTATGTAATCTTGAATAGCTAAAACTGAATTTTAGCTCTTATCACATGAGGCCTGATGTAAATTTGTAACTCGCACTAAATTGAATTGGACTCGTAGTAGCCGCGACTTATTTGAATAGCTAATCATATATATATAGTTATATTTGTATTCCCTTATCTATTATTCATTTTTACATATTATTATATTTATGAAATACTAAAGCTTTAACTGCATTTAATTGAGATTATTTGCTTCAATCCTTGCATTTCAGAAGTTTATCCTGGCTCTTGCCGAGGTCACAATCTGTCAGGTTGTCGACCGACATCGTGACCTGGTATACTCACTTCTGAAGCTTGATCCAGAACGAGATCCACCTCTTGATCAAGAGCTTTTTGGCCTGGCTGCTGCGGTAGCAGACCGTCTGATCTTCTTCAAGATGCTGTGGGAATGAAAAGTTTATCCATATATTGTTTGCATTATCTGTCCATTTAATACTATCTCAATATGGTAGATTAAGAAAGAAATTGTGAATTACAAATCCCTACGAACAGCCCAAATTCAATGGAAGGTGTATAATCCTAATCATTGTATGATAGGAGAAATAAAATTGAGGGGAATAAGATAATAATAAATATTCACCTGTAACTTCCTCAATCTATCACCTTGAGAGGCTCGAATCCAAATGTGGTCCAATACCACATGACATCTGCCCAGTTTATGATAGGTTGTTTTGTGAATTTAGACATAAAAAACCTTCGTAAATTTCTATGAACTGTCAATAAAGATATATTTTTTTTCAAATAGGCACTTAATTAGGCCGAGATTAGACTCATTAACTAGCAGATAAGACTAGCGCAGAAACTCGTCCACAGAAGGTGATTTCCGAGCTGATATCACCTTTACTTAGTTGCTTTAAATCGAAAAATTTAGAAAATTCTTTTTTAATAAACACTGAATAACAGCAGCACTTTAACTTTGGTAGATTTCACTGTAAGAAAACATTTTTGGCCAATTTTATGATACTTCTGTAATAAACTAACTAATATCTCATAAATCGCTATTGAATACATACCACTAAAATCCCATCAGCAGCATGAGTAATATTAATGTAAGTTATTTGACCTTGTTTTCGCGACTAGGTCATAGTGGTAGAAAGACTTAGAGCAACGCACCTTGTCCGGAGTCCATTGTATGCATAATCATTTGCAACGTCGGACCGTGGATGTGGTACATTCCCAGACGATTCGCCAGCATCGTAGCACCATATTACAACTCGTCAAAGAGACAAGTGAAGCGGATCCCTCGACCAAACATGTGCTAAACAGTTATGGTATCTCCCCTTCTGCTCTGGCCTACTCACATTTCCTATATCCTCCAATCACACCGTCACTGTCACTATTTTTAACTTGCCTAATTAAATGTGGTACGGTGTGCCCTTTTGAGCGGCTTTCATGAGAACCCTCCGCACTTCACACTGGCCTTCTCACCCCCCTTCATCCTTGTGCTGGGAGTGTTGATCAGAGTATGCCATATTGTAACGCAATCCTCCTTCCATAGGTCTTATCACAGTCTCTCTCTTGCCCCGTAGAATAAATCTGCGATCCCTCTGGTTCAAGTATTTCTCTCTATCTGCTACTCGAGGTGTTATTACCTTCCCTCTGCGACTGGGTGACTAATTCGAGGCACAAGCCTCTGAGTAAGTGTCATGGTCAGGCCTTTGCCACATGGACCACGTCGCTTAGACAACCTACTGTCAGCCCACTAGCTATCTATCCTGTTTCCATCTCTAATACCAAGTCTATGACTTGAACATAACCAAAGCAAGCAGTAACACACCATTTGTGGCTAGGCCCACAAGAGACTAGGGCATGGCAATTCATAGACTTGGCATTAGAGATAGAAACAGGATAGACGCGGCGGCG